TTCATAGTATACGTAAAAGAAAATTCTTAATATAGGGCACTTTTATGAATAAAAGTATCAACCTCCCTCACCATAAAAACACTAATCATTTAAGAGATTCACCAAATCGCTAACAAAAGCAAGCAGTAACTCAAGTTCTAGCATGATCCTTAGCTTTCCACCAGAGTGTCCATGCTTTTAGACAATATATGTACATTATTGGTGAAGAACGTATGACAATTATTCTAATATAAAGGAGATGCTATCAAGACCTCGCAGAACAAAACAATACTAGTCTTGTGTGATTTTTCAATGTACTACGCATGAAGTTTCAATATGCCAGTTTTCAATAGTAATTATTATGTTCATCGTGTGAAATCGGTATATTAGAATGGCAATGGAAGTAAACTATTGATATATAAAGATAACAGTTAAGCCGTAGACAAAATTACAGAGTTGATGGGCAGTAAAAGGAAGAAACCATTACCTTTGTAGAGTTTTTTCACTATCTTTACAGTTACAGCAACCTCAACCATATTTCTTCGGCTATGACTAAAATCATCCATTTCTTCTTTTCCTTCTAGAACGTTTATGAACGAATAAGGACCAAACATTCTCCCAGGAAGATACCTTCGTTCATAGCTTTTATCTTTCACATTGGGTGCATTTATGATCTTCTGCAGATAGAAATTTGAATTTGTGAAGTGGCTAATTTCTGGATGCATTCTATATTGCATATCAAGCAGATGCTTAGAATGACCCAATGAACTCAGTCTTCCAAATAAGCTTCTTCCGAAGCCAACCTCTTCGGACAACTGTGAAAGCATATATATATATTAATTAATACAAAGTATTTAGAAGAAAACATCGGGCACTATTCAAGTTTCACTGACCCTTACTGTACCATCATGCTTACCTTGCTGATAACAGTCGCTGGTAACTGACATTCATCTCCAACTAGAACAGCATGCCTCAAGCCTGGGAGCTGAAGAGGGATAATTGATTCACACTCATTTAAATGAGAAGCTTCATCGATTACCAACAATTTGACTGGTTCAATATCCACCGAGTGTAGCTTATATGAAGTAGAAGATGTGCAAAATATCAAGGAAGCGTCTTTGAAACAGAATTCCATTATAGAGACTTTATTAATCGCACTTGGGAGATCACGTTTTTCTAAAGAACGCTTGAGAGATTTTAGAATAGAGAGGCACTGGGTCTTCGTATAGAGTAAGGGTGATGCATCAACAGATGATTGGGAAGAATCAACTGTTCCCTGATGTGAAAAGATATTGTCCAATTCTTCAGATGTCAATTTGTCTTGAAACAACAATATTTCCAAAGAGTCGAGCAAAGAAACGAGTTGTACCATGTATTGAAAAATTTGATCACCCAAGCAACTTCTAGATAAATGAGTAAATAATTTCGACAAACATGTTCTGAGAGGCACTGCTGTATGACGCAACCTGTCTCTAGTAAACTCCAGCAAAGATACTGGTTCTGATTTTTTAACTTCATTCTCTTTTCTTGCCTTTGATTTTTGAACTTCATCCTCTTGACTTTGTTTAGCTTTTATCGACTCATTTTCCACATATTCAGAAACACAATCCTCCAGAAAATCAATCATGGAAGATATACAGTGCTTCCAACCAGTTAGAGATGCAAAGCACTCTACAAGCCTATCAACACGATAATCAAGAAAAATTTCCTCAATGTCTGAACCACATTTCAGACGATGCTTATTCCCAAAGATAAGGACGCCACCCAGATGACAAGTTCTAAAGAGCTTCTCAGGTTCAACTTCAAAAGATTCCCTCATTAGTTTGATCACTCGAGAAGCCAGATCTGTGATTGCTACATTTGTTGGAGCACAAACAAGGGTTCTTACATTCATTTTCAAGAGAGTAAATAGCATAGAACTTAAAGTCCTGGTCTTCCCAGTCCCAGGAGGACCCCATATGAGTTTGACCGAAGGCTTGTGCTCACATTGCATTCTCAGAATAGAAGCCACTATTGCCTCATTTTGTGATTTATTTAGCTTCAACAATGCATTTGGTTCGATTTTTATATCTGACTGTGTATCACCTTCGAGAGAACAAAGTTCACAAACTTCTTCGTCCTGTTTTGAGAAAAATACACATGTTGATTAAAACCACTAGCAATATGCAGTATTCAAAATAGACAAATAGCTTCAGCTGGCTTTGTGAATAGGAGCAAAATAATCAGCATGTGTACAACTTATGTTACTTCCACTCATCACAAATCACATAAAAACAAAATTAGCAAAAGACGTGCTACAAAGGGAAACATTTACATAACCTTTTTGTTGAACCACCCCATCCAAAAATTCAAGGCTCTAGAAAGGAGACACGTTTATTTATTTAAAGTTAGCCTTTAACATGCCCCTTCGTGTGCAGGCCTCAATCAGTTTTTATTAAAGGATTGACACAGGCACAATTTTTATTAAGGGGTCGCAGCAAGCCTAATGCAATGTGGACGGATATGATTTCTGTATATTTTATCAATCAATACAGGAGGATATATACAACGATTACAGACTAATTAAGAAAAATTAAGACAAACTTATCAATCACACAGATTCTGCAACACTTCTTGTAATACAAGCAAAAAGTGTTCCTAGGTTTTAATCATATAACCCAAAACATCTTTGGTCAATAAATGCCATGAGCTACAAACATATGAAAGGCAAAAAAATGTATGAGAAGAATATGAAAAATTGTAACAATGATAACTGATAAAGAGAAAGTTGGTCAGAAGTTCTAAATATATATTTCCTCCATAGCTTGAATCAACCTTCAAGTTAGCATCGTAACTTACCCGATCATTCTTGGACAATACTGTTTCAATGATATCTAGGTTTTTACGCATGCACAATGCATTCCAAATTCTTCGATTTGCTGTTATGTTTGCCAAAAAAACCACATAAAGTGACTTGTGCTGTCCATCTTCAACTTCAATGCGATTCTCAGCTTTTACTTTGAAATCAGTGGACGTATAATTATCATCATTCTCAACGTCCACATTATTAGTCACTGATGCAAAAGTCCATGTCCATCCAACTTGTTGCAAGTCAGCAACCGATTCAGGTTTCCTATTTGAAAGCAAAACAACATCTCCAGGCAAGGTTCTATATGGCTCCATATCACCATGGCCTAATCTGTTTTTCCATCTGTTAACTTTTACATTATACAGCAAAGTGTGTGTGTGGTTAGCTGTTGCCGGGTCAAGAGCTATCACCTCAGCAAAAGGAGCATTATAGACACCGTCCATGGCAGACGCAAGTTCTGCACGAGTTTCTTCCAGTAAGGGGAAGACATATGAACCAAGATATTGATCAACAGATTGATGCAACTCTGGAATGTTCTCCACCTAAATGCATTAAATGAAACTAAAGTTAATGAAAAAAAATTAAGATTAAAAAAAACAATAGCTAAAAGGCAGACAAAAGCAACTTTGTATTAGATGATAATGTTAGTTAACTTCCATCAATGCCATCACACATACCCTGAAAGATTAAATATAATGTTAAAAATTAATCTAGTACAACCCACATGAACAAAAGGCAGCATGTATCATCATCTATTTTGCAACAAGCATGACCTAGTCTTTGTGCATATAAACGTTCTGAAAATCTCTGATTAAAGTATAGGTAATAATCTAGAATTTTGACAAAAAGATTCTCTCGTCACTGATGGACTAAGAGAAAGTAGTAACAATAACAACAACAACAATCTAAATGTTAAGACCACCTCGTAAGTGAAAACTTCATTTTATCTCTATTTTAACTTATTTGCTAGTATTTATCATTTTAACTGATCTATCATGATTATACATCCATCTTAACAAAAAGATTTCCCTTTTTTTATGATAGAGCATGTTTTGCCAAGCCTAAAATAAAATCCCATTTACTTAAAAGTGCCTTTAAGCTGAGCGAAACATATTTGGAGAGTTTTACTAGTTGCTTTTAAAGTACATTTCTCCCCCAAATATGTTAGTACATATAAAAGTTACCTCTTTAGAAAAAAAAAGAGTTAGTACAAAAATTGCTATATTAAAAATGCAAGTTCGCGTTTCCTTTTTAGGCTTAAGCAAACATGCTCTTAGATCATCTTATTGAAATGACCCAAATTAATGAATAAGTTCTCTACCGAGTCTCTCAATTGCATAGAAGCCCCTCTACTTGCATGCAAATTTAAGCCCTTGTTTGACATATTCTCCAAACTCATTTTCAACCACATATTCTCTTAATAAAATAATTTTACGCATAAAATTTTTTCTTGCTTTTCAACCACTCATTCTCTGAAAAAATCACTATTCCAAAATATATTTTCACCAAATAATGGGGGCTCCAAAAGCGCTAAGCACCATGCAATCTAAAACTAAACTTCAGCAGAATTACGAGTTTAAGCACGAAAATGTTAAATACTCTGCTGAAAAATTGAACTACAGTTATTCATCTATAATCAAACCAAGACCTGCTAAAATGTTAAATGCTCAGCTGAAAATTTACCACCAGAATCCAGAAGAGTAGCAAAGAACGAACCTGGTTTCTGTACAGATCCTCATTAAAAATGTCTTCAAGAGACCACGAAAACACCAAGCGAATAAACTCATCCTTAGGCCGTGCTCTTTTCGTGCTTGAAGAACACTCTTCCATTGTCACTTTTCACCCTCTTTTGCTATTTTAGCTATCAACAACTGAAAATTACAAAAACCTGTAAGTGCAAGAGCAAGACTATTGTAAGCATGAAACTTCTTTGCAGTGAAGTAATACAGAGTATATATACACATAGATAAATGGGTTTTCTTTGTAATGAAGTAATCTAAAATCTTCCGTACAAAGCGCACTAGAAAAAAGGTTGTTAAAGAAAAGGTTTTTGGATCATATTGCGATGCTGCTTCTTGACTCACGAACTTATGGTCATCCATTCGAGTCTTGCTTTTCCCCACGTTGAAATTTCCAACTGTGACCTTCTTCCACGAATGTTTTCGAGGACAACAAAAGCAAATGGCGGTAAATGCTACAAGAGATCATGTACTATGTTATTTATCAATTGGATCAATGACATCGTCAGTCTTGTCAATTAAGGAATCGTTTGCCATAACTTTTCCTTTTGTTTTTGCAAAGAATTTTATGAAACTTCTTTTCAACCACACATTTTTCAATAAACTAATATTACACACAATTCAAAAACTTTTCCTTCATTTTTAACCAAGCATTCTCAATTAATCTACTATTTCAAAATACATTCTACACTGAATGATATTCAAACAGGCCCCATATTTTATTGATCATTGGAAATTAAATTTTTAATATATTCTGATAAAAGTTAAAGAAATATGTGGTTGAAAAATTATGGATCCCATGAAATATATGGTTAAAATTAATTGTTGATTAACTTAAATTCGTACCAAACAGGGGCGTAATATAACCAAATATATTTTGGAATAATAATTTTTTAAAGAATGTGTGGTTAAAAATAAAGAAATTTTTTTGATTTACGCGTAATATTATTTTATTGGAGAATTTGTAGTTGATAAGAATAGAGAGAAAAATGAATTATAATTTAATGGAGGCCGAACAAATGCTTTTTTCTAACAGTTTTGCTAGTACATTATAAATAATGCATTTTGCAATATTGTTATGATAAAAAATGTATGGTTAAAAAATTTAAAAATAAGTTTTGTAATATTATTTTATTTAAAAATGCGTGGTTGAAATGTGGTCAAATCACTGTTCAAGATTACATTTTGATAGAAAAATGGGGTTCAAACAAGAGCTAAATTTGATAATGTTGATCGGACAGCAACCATGGTCATTGGTTTTGAACACAGTCGTTCGCCAAATTTTTTATACTTAAGAGGACGTCATCCATAATATATAAAAACAATGTACAAATAGATTAATTATTTTTCTAAACACATTTAAACTAGATATTCTTTTTTAAAAAATCATTACTTTTTATCTACTCGTTCTTCAAAAAAATTAGCACATGTTATCTTTGTTGTTTTCGTGCCATTTTCTGTTTTTCGATTTTCCAAAATAATTTGAGTGTTTTCAAGCCAAAACACAGAAAAATCTCAGAACACAGAAAACGGCCCCTTCTTTCTCCATAACTATGCGTTAGAGAGCCAGAAGAACAGTCGCCTTTTTCCTCGACAATCGACCACCACGGGTCACTGAGACCACCAGACCCCACTACCATTTGAACCCCCTCACCTCCATCTTCAACCTTTTGTCATCACCTGGCCACGAGATTGCCGAAAACAGCCCCAATCACCACGCAAAACCGCGCTACCAGTCACAATTTTCGCCATATTTCCACCGCCGTCGACCACCGCTTCGATCGCGGACCACCACCACTCCACTCCTCTCAATCAAGCGCATCCAGTACCACCATGGGTCACCTGCAATTGGGATTTTTTTGGTAACTATCTTCCTATTTTGTTTTGGAGATTTGATGATATTTGATTTTGTTCAAGATAGGATTAAGCGGTGATATTTAGGAGGTGGGGTTTATGCAAAAAAAATAGGATTTTTCTTTCAATTTGGAGTGAAATTGGATTGCGAACTTGAGCAAGTGAATTTCTACCAATGATTGGATATTTGAAAGGGGCTCCAAATGGCAACAATTGAAATGGAAAATGTGGAATGTGCGCCTTCATCAGAGTGCGTTGAAGATGAAAAGATCCTCGGCATTCTTCAAAGCCTCATAATGTGGTGCTTTCTGGAATTTGCAGTGGCAGAGTCCATGAATTGCTTGAATGCCCTGTTTGCACCTATTCTATGTACCCACCAATCCATCAGGTCTCTCTCTCTCTCTCTCTTTAATTTCTTGTGTTTTCCTTTGACACGGGTCTTTTTAATTCATATGATACATAGCTTTATATTATTGTTTGGATGTAAGCTTAAGTACATGTTGTGATTGTTATTTAGTTGTTAGGGAACTGGCAATGGAGTTTTGGCGGTATTACTAATTTCAAGGGTGGATTTTGATGAAAGGAGGAGGTGATTTTAGGCATTGTTTTAGTTCAACCGTGCTTAAGATCATTTGCATTTGAATTTGATTGTTGGCGTAAGCTAAATGTTAGAATTGATGTTCTCTGATCTTTGAATGCAATGGACTAGCAATTTTTAGCTTTAAGTTGTTGATGCCAAATGTCAAAAGTTGCCCTAATTGATATATTGATAAGTTGGAAAAATATATAGAAATGTCCTATAATGGATGCACGTTGTTTATCTATCAAAATATTACAGGCTGAGTTCTTCTTGGAAACTGAAGAGCCCTAGTTGTGACTTGGCTTTGGACATATATTAGTAGGGTACTCGTCGGGAAGGTAACTTTGATGAGAAAGTGAGTTGATGAGCAAAATTATAAATGTCCATGGTAAATACATCTTTGGTAATAGAAATATGACATTTTGTAGTGGAATGCTCTAATCAACTCTCTATAGTTCATTATGAGAACTAATACGAGGAAATCTTCATCATTGATGTGAATCATGTTGTGGAATCTGTAGTCTGGCCACTATAAGGGTATATTTTTTAACTTAGATGATCAATGATGGGGCATTCCAAGCTTGATAACCTTCTATGATAATCCTTATATTTTTGGTCAATTAAATTGGTGGACTTCTACATGTTAAGGGATAAATTAACGTTTATAAAGAGAAAAAAATGGAAAACATCTAAATAGATTGTAGTAGCTAGTGACATTCACTTGAGCTAAAGGGACTCAGTTAACTTGCTGCATTTCTCCGTTTGGCATATTTTGGATGAAAAAAATATGTTCTGTTTATCATAATTCAGATTCTTTTTAACGTTTTGGAAAGTCGTGGAAAAAAGAGAAAGTGAGATCAGCCAGATGAGTCATTAGTTTCAACTAGAGTAGTATTACCTGGAATTCTTCAATTGGCAAACTTTGGATCTCTAGCCAGGATAACTTTGCCTATTGTTTCCCCAGTATCAGGTGCTTCTATCGTAAATACTCTTTCTACTATTGGTGCCTCCATTTAGCAAGTGCTTCAAGTGCCTCTACAGCTGCATGATGCTGCCATTGTCCAAAAGTTTGTTCAAGTAAAGACGAGAATCCTATCATCTTTATTTGTTTTTTTGTGCGATCTTGTTTATATGGGCTTTATGTAGACGAAAATTCTGAAGATCCTGCTACTGAATTTGAAATGCAACTTTCTCTATTGTTTCATGAGTAAACTAGTTGGGATTAGATTAATGCATTGCAGAGTTGTAATAGCAAATTCAGTATTAGATTCCTTACATATATTTAATTAGAGATCATGTTTAGATGATCAAAATTGTATTAGTTGAACGTAGTATAACCAAAAATAGGTGGTGTTGGAAGTAAAATATCATAATTATAATATTTTTAACTTTCATCAGCATTTTTGTTATTATCGTAAGCCATTCTTATATATGCGTTATGTGGAATAGACGCTCTTTCAACTTGACAAGAATGGTGTCACAATGAAGGCTATAGTGACAAGCTTGAGTTGAATTAATTTTTTATTTTTTATACTGGGCTGATATGTAAAAAGAAAAAAAAATTAATCTCAAATCTGCCAAACTACCTTGAAGGATGTTTTTGATTAATTCTTGTGCTCGAGCAGTGGCAGGGTCCGATTTAGGTTCAGGAGTAGTTACTTCTCTTATGATACTTTTCTCTAATCTCTATTTCCTACATATGTTTTGTATTTATATATTTCATTATGTGTTAATAGTTACAATGGAAGCAAAACAAAATACGAAATGTGTGCACTAAACAAACTAATGATAGTCATCGTATTTAAACGATCAAAATTGTATTTGGCAAGAATTGTAAGAACTAATATAAACTCGATATGATTGATTTCAAAATATTCATTACCATGTCAACATGAGATTAGTGCTCCTCTTTTTTGCAACTTGATTAGGATTGGTTGTGACTTGATGCTAATTAATTCTTGCACAAGTTACGTACAAGAACAAAAACAAGGAGTTGCCAAATTTAATTTAAGTTGTGTTTTTTATATCTGGAAAAAAATATTTCAAAATTCACAATCTTCAAAATTTATATGTTATTTAATACTATATTAATATTAAACTATTAAAATTTATTGAATAACCAAATTTCTTGAATAAAATATTCTCAAAAATATTCTCAAAATTTCAAAATAAACGCATTTTCTATTTTTATGTTTTGAGAAACAGTTTTTCCAAATGACAAAAAGAACTCATTTTCAGCAATTTCAAAACAGACACTCAAAACACAAAACACAAAATGAATTCAAAACTCAAAACTGAAACACAAAGAGAACAACCCCACTTTTTACAAAATGACTTTTCAAAAATTTAACTTCACACAAGGGGAAAATCTAACCAATGGATCAACTTGCTCGACTTATCCCATGTATAGGCTCCATTTTTGAAAAAAATGTTTTTCCCTCTTTCTTATTTCTATTAATGGAGCCCAAACAAGGGTTAATGAATTGAACAAGTTTGGCAAATTGAAAGACTTGAATTCTCTCTCATTTTATTTTCTATCTTTGTATAGATACGAGAAATAGTATCCAGAATTTCAAATTCGATTTCTATGTGGAATCATTCTGTTTACTAGTAGAGTCTACAATAAGTTTTTCGATCGAAGTTCGAAAAATATGGAAGCAGATCATATATTGAAAATTTTAGATCAACCAAATATTGACGAGGAAAAAAAAATCTAACTCGTCTTATTGGCGGTAATACTTCCCTCAAGATCATTTGTAATTAAAATAATTAAGAATAACCTACGAAACTTCCAATCGACTATTTAATGGTTTCTCTTTCTCTCTATTGCTCTTCCCTTCTCATGAAATTAATTAATCTTATTCAAAAAAAAATTAATTAATCTCACTAATAATTAAAAATGTTTATCTCACATGGTTTTAATATCATAGTGGACCAACTTGCTGAACTCAACGAATTGAACAAGTTAGGTAAATAGGGAAAAGCTTGTTTAGAGTATATTTGTCATTTGAGCAAATACAAGTTTTCCAACTTTTTTCAAAATTCTTTAGTGGTTTTCAATTTATTCATTTTTTTCAAAATTGCGTCAGACAAGTGTAAAATAATTGAGGTATAAGCAAACTCATGAGCTTCTTCTTTTTGTTCTTTTGAAAAATCAGCGAAAAAATTGCCATGGATAGCTTTTGAAACATTTTGTTGAACCAAAATACCTTTCATTTTTTGTTACTAGATTGAAAAATCACATTTTTCATTAAAAGTTCCAAAATCAAAATTGTTAGTTGTTATCAAAATAATCAATCAAAAAATACAAAATCATAATTAAGCCACAAAAAGTAGATCTAAAGTTGCAAACAATATACACTGTTTTAGATTCTCGGTGTTTCGTAAGATTTCGATCTTAGATCAAAGGAATATTCAAACGAGTAAGGTCTAGGTATTCTAGGGACTTAACAGTGCAATAGGAGATATGTCAACCAAAACAGTTTTATGCACAAAATATTATAGAGATAGTAAGCTGAAATTTATTAAATAAATAATTTACTCACGTAGCAACTAAATGCAAGTAGTTCCTAATTTATAGCACAAGCAATGGTTACCCCACACGGTAGCCCTCATTATATTGTCACCACATACGTTGACGCGCTAGTGGTGGAAATTAAACGGGATTAGCCAATTTACCGGAAAGGACCAATCCGAGTTCGTAAATAATGAGAAATGCGTATTTAATATTTTATGGCCACCACTATTCTCCCTAAAGTCTCATGTAACCGATTGAATGCGAAACTAAATCACGAATGTGTAGGGGCAAAATCGTCCAGATTTTACTGTATCGCCTGAAACAAAAAAACTAACACCACGAAAACATTAGAAATCTCGTTAGAAAAATACTGTCCGAAGAAGGTTTCTCTAGACTACGCCAAACACGCCTCCATGCTCCGCGACCGCCAGAGACCATCACCCTTCCATGCTCCGCACGGTGGACCCAGGTACGCCTCCACCTGCAGATTCTCCCTATGGTATTGGATTCTTCAAATAGTCATTGGTTTGGCCAGAAAATACTATTACAGGTGCGGTTGAAAGATGAAAATTGAACAGAATTTTGGATCTGTTTCTCCTGTCGTTTTCTAGTCTTGGCCAAAACTTTCACACCACGCCACAAACGCGCTGATACCAAATGTTGAGTGGAATATTGACACCAAAGCTTTCTGGCTCACTATTTCACAATAATACCGAATCGAACCACAAAATTGCAAGACCCAAACACTCCTACAACCACCCTTAACTCGAGTTTCTTGGTTGCCCACAAAGGACACGGTATGAACTATTATTGCAGCCACAAAAACTAGCCACAGAGGTTGGAAGAGAAAAGGAGAAAGATGCTACAAAGGGGAAGCACGAAGCCAAAGACCGCGGCTGCAGTTTTTCCCTCAAAAGGTAGGCTAGCAATAATGTTTTCACACTGCCAAGTCCGAAAGACGGGAGCCAGCATAAATAACAAGTAAGTGGGATTTTAGGTTAAACGGTAGTTAGGCCCAATAGTTAATAGGAATAAATAAATGTGCTATCAACCAAAAGCCATCCATGGAGTGATAGGTCAGGCCATGAGTAGCTCTAATAAAATTAGGCTACTTCAAATAGCCCAAATAGGTTATAAGTTTAGGTCATTATAATTGCAGTATTGATGCTTCAATTCAGTCATTGGTCGACTGAATAAATAATAATTAACATCATTACGCGAGAGGTCATTCGACAACAATTTGCCGAACAATAATTGATTCACACTCCTTTAATTGAGCAGCTTCATCAATGACTAACAATTTGAGAGGTTTCATATCCACTAAGTGTAGCTTAGAAGATGAAGAAGTTGTGCAAAATATTAAGGTAGCCATTCGGATACATAATCCTTTTATCTCATCTTTACTCATGGCACTTGGAATGTCAAGTTTTGAAAAAGAACACTGGAGGGATCTTAAAATAGACAGACACTTGGTTATCACATCTGGTAAGGATAACGTGTGAACAAACTATTTGAAAGAACCAACCATTCCCTGATGTAAAAATATATGTTGCAGTTCTTCAGATTTCAAGTTGTCCTTAAACAACAATGTTTCCAAAGAGTCCAGTAGGGAAAGAAGTTGCACTACGTATTGAAAATTTTGTTCACAATGAAATTTCTACGTAAATGATAAAAGAATGTCAGCATATGTCTTCTAAGAGACCATGCTGTATGTCTGAATCTGTCTCTAGAAAACTCCAACAAAGATCTTGATTCTGGTTTATATACTTCATCCACATAGAAACGGTACTGAGAAATACAACCTTCGAGAAAACAGATCTACCTTCAATATGTCACAAAGGTTGTAGCTGCAGGTGATAAGGACTCTACAAGCTTATCAACACGATCATCAAGAGATATTTCCTCAATGTCTGAAAACATTTCCGTATGATCCTTATTCCCAAAGTTCTGTATGATCCTTATTCCCAAAGTTCCGTATGATCCTTATTCCCAAAGACTAGGATGTCACCCAATGGATAAGATGAAATTCCATTCTTGTATTCAGCTTTAAATGAATCCCTGGATAATTTTACCACTTGAGTGGCCAGATCTGGGACTGCTGCATTTGTTGGGGCACATGTTCTAGCATTCATTTGCATGAGACAAAGTGGCGTTACACTTAAAGTCCTCATCATCCCAGTCCCTGGAGGACCCCATATGAGTTTTACATTAGACTTGTGCTCACGTTGTACTCCCCTAATGGCCTCCATTATTGCCTCCTTTTGTGATTTATTCAACTTGGACGTTACAGTCGATCTAGTTGCTACATTTAGTTGAGTAACGCGTTGAGAGCAAACGTTACACATATCTTCAGCCTGATACAACTTATGCAGAGCCACTGATGGATCTGGGAGGGGTGTAGCCCAGTCCATCCCCCAGCCCATTCAATTTTTTTAGTAGAAAAAAAATTATGTAAAAAAAAAAATTTCTTGTGTAATTTTTTTTTTTTACGTATTAGCCCAACTTGTAATCTAGTCCTGGATCCCCAGATTTATCAGACGCCATCATAGGCAAAATAGACGATGTTAATAATAGAAAAATACGTGTAAATATAAGAAAAAACTACCCAGCAAACATACAACTTAATTTGCATAATTTTACGGAGCTATACCGTGGGAAAAAATAGGAAATTTTGACATCATATAAAACTAAGAAATTGAAAGACAAAAGTCAAATATTGTGGTTTCAAAAATGTGTTTCATTGCTCATCATTATACGGTGCCGATGTCATTCCATCCCATGAAATAAAACAAATTCTGATTACATGTTATTTCTATAGCGGCAATGTAACTTACCAGATATTTCTTTATGAGTTGCTGTGTTTATCAAGAAAACAACATAGACCGAATTGCCCAATCGATCTCCATATTCAAACTGCTTCCCAGATTTCACTTTGAAATTGGCAATCACACAATTATTATCATTCTCATCCTCTGAAATATGAGTCATGTATGCAATGGTCCATTTCCATCTAGCACTTTGTAGGTGTCAACAGGATTAATAGAATAGTTCCACATCAACTCTACCTCAGTTAACTGAAGCACCAGCTGGAGCACTGCAGGAGTCACCTTTTTCTTAGCTGTAGATACCGTTTCTTCTTGTAGTGCCTCCACTCAATTCTGTTGTAAATTATTCCAGACATGATCCACTATTTTAGAAACTAACCTCCACCTGTAAATTCTAGATTCTTCCTTGTAACAATTCATTTTCATTATATAATATTTAATACCTCAACAATGGTGGTCACGATTTCACAGAATTATTCTTGTTTTCTTTTCAAACTTTAACTTAGTATTAGAACACATGGCAAACGCCAGAAATACTCCTCAAAATGATCCCATCTCTGCACCTGCTTCATTTTCCAGCAGCATTGATACACCACTGATAGCTAGCAATAGCACCTCACCGTTTGGAATTAACCTCACTCAAGTTGTTTCAGTCAAGTTGGACAAAAACAACTTTTTACTGTGGAAAAATATGATATTGCCAATCATACGAGGACAAAACCTTGAAGGATATATCTTAGGGACAAAGGAGTATCCCCATGAGTTCACTGGTAGCCAAGTCACAGGAGAAGCTAGAACCAGCATTGAGATGATTCAAAATCCTGAACATAGCCAATGGATGTCAATAGATCAATTGGTCATGGGCTGGCTCTATTCTTCGATGACCCCAGACATTGCAATGAGGGTTATAGGTGCAACAAACTCAAAGGAACCGTTGACAGCAATTGAAGAAAGTTATGGAGTACAAAACAAGTCCAGAATCATTTTTCTCACTAGTGAACTGCAGAAAACTAGAAAGGGTACAACAAACATTGACCAATATCTCAACAAGGTGAAACACCTTGCTGATAACCTAGAACACCTCAATTCCCTGAGAAATGACATAGCTGAGATTAACATCAATCAAATCTCAGCTAATTTCTCTCAAAGGTCTGGTTCCAATTGCAGTGGTTCAAGGTCTTATAGACTAGGCTATGGTGGCAAATTCACCAACTTCAGCAACTACAAAGGTGGGAGAAGAGGTAGAAACAGAGGAAGCTATATCTATGGTGGAAGTGATAGACCAACGTATCAAGTATGTGGGAAAGTAGGCCACAAAGCTAACATATGTAACTTCAGATATGATGACACGTATACTGGGCTCCACCAAACCAAATAACAGGCTATAGCACTTCACCTACTACTCTTATTGCAACTCCTAGCATAGTGGAATAATCTTGCCTGGTACGCAGATACTAGAGCTAGTAATCACATTACCTCAGAAAAAGGAAACCTCACCTCTGCAAATGAATATATTGGTAAGGAGAAAATCATGGTAGGGGATGGAAGTAAGTTGCTTATCTTTCACTTTGACACCAAACACATTCCAGCTTTGAATGGTAAGTTTCTAGTTCTAAATAAACTTCTTCACATGCCTGAAATTAAGAAGAATCTGATCAGTGTTTCTAAGCTAACCTCTGATAATAATGTGTATATGGAATTTTACCATGATTGCTGTTTTGTCAAGGACAAATTAACGAGGGAAGTGATAATGCAAGGGAAGCTTAAAGAGGGGCTATATCAGCTGGATCTTCCTCACCAAACTGCCAAGAGTCTCACCCAGAGTCAGGACTCACAAATAAATCGTTCTACAGTTTGTCTTCTGTTGTTCCTAATCATGAATCTTTAAATTCCACTTTTGACATATGGTACAAGAGACTTGGTCATCCTTCTAGCCAAGTGATGAACCAAGTACTCAACTCCTGTAATGTCAAAATTAAAGGAAATGAAATCAAACCGTTTTGCAATGCTTGTCAACTTGGCAAAGCTCACTTGTTACCTTTTCCCTTATCTTCATCTCACTTCAAATCACCACTAGAACTAGTTTTTACAGACATATATAGGGATAAGCCCTATTTTATCTACCTCGGGTTTTAAGTATTACATATCTTCCTTGATGACTTTAGCAGATTGACTTGGATCTATCCATTGAAACAGAAATCTGAAGCCTTAAATGTATTCATTCAATTCAAAAAATTGTTGAAAACAAACTAGCTTGTAAAATAAAAACATTACAAGCTGATTGGGGTGGTGACTATGGATCTTTTTCAAAGTTTTTGAACCAGGAAGGGATTGAGTTCAGGCACCCTTGTCTATACACTTCAGCTCAAAACTGTAGGATAGAAAGAAAGCATAGACATGTGACAAAAACATGTCTAACACTCCTAGCTCAAGCCAGTTTACCCTTAAAGTATTGGTGGGAAGCTTTCCAAACTATTGTTTACCTCATAAATAGGCTGCCAACACCCACTCTTCAAAACCAATCACCTTATCAAACTCTATATGACAAGAAGCCTAACTATCAGACCTTGAAAGAATTTGGTTGTGTCTGCTACCCCTGTCTAAGGCCCTATCAAAATCACAAATTTAGTTTCCATTCCACCAAGTGCACTTTTATTGGATATAGTGAGTCTCATAAAGGCTACAAGTGCCTAAGTGCAACTAGAAGACTTTATATTTCAAGGCATGTGGTATCTAATGAATTATAGTTCCCTTTTGAATCTTTAACCGCTGCTAAAGGTCATTCAGAACCAACTGCGTCTGAAACCATAGTGTCTTACTTTCACTTTCTTTTTGAACAAACAAAACAGTGTCTACCTTAGATCCTATTGATACTACTCACTATGAAGTTGTTCCTGCTGAACATCACTCACCATCAGACTTCAATGACAATTAGCAGAACAATATGTTGAATGGTGATTCTGAAGGAACTGATGAAACAGAACTTGAGGTGCCAGAACAAAGTGTGCTACAGATAAATCAAGCACCTTTGCAATCAGGTGATTCTTTGCAGTTAAATGATAATGGTGGCAGGGAAATGCCTCAACACAGAGCTTAAAATTTGGCTGGGCATCCTATGATTACTAGAGGGAAAGCTGGAGTGTTCAAACCAAAAATTTATCTTGGAAAACTAACTGAAATTCTCTCAGAACCCAAGTGTAACTGAAGTATTGATGAGTGATGATTGGAAGAAGGCAATGAAGGAAGAATTTGTTTCTTTGACAAAAGCCAAGACCTGGGAACTTGTATCTCCCTCACCAATGCTCAATGTTGTTGGAAATAAATGGGTATCCAAACTCAAGCACAACACCGATGGCTCAATACAGAAGTTCAAAGCTAAACTTGTAGCAAAGGGGTTTCATCAAACCCTTGGTATTGACTTATATGAAACATTCAGCCCAGTTATCAAACCATCAACACTCAAAATCATTCTCACCTTGGCAGTAGCAAAGGAGTGGACAATCAGGCAAGTTGATATCAACAATGTCTTTCTCAATGGAGAACTGGAAAAGACTGTTTTCATGTGTCAGCCTGAAGGGTATGTTGATAAATCGAAGCCCAATCATATGTGCAAAGTGAGCAAGGCACTCTATGGATTAAAAAAGGCACCTAGAGCTTGGAATGAGAAGTTAAAATCCACATTTTTGAGTTGGAAATTCAAGCAATCAGTAGCAGATACTTCACTGTTTTACTTCAAAAATGATAGACTAATAATCTTTGCACTTATCTATGTAGATGATATTGTGATTACAAGAAATGACAGAGAATTACTACAGAAATTCATAAACAATTTGAGCAAAACATTCACGTTGAAGGACATGGGAAGGTTGCACCACTTTCTTGGAGTTGAGGTACCATGGCATAATTCAGGAATTCATCTCACACAAACTAATTATATTACTGATCTACATGAAAGGTTTGACTTGCAAAATGTAAAACCTTGCCTCACAACTATTCATGCTGGTAAATCAATGTCTAAAGCTGATGGGGAATCATTGAAGTATCCAACAGCATACAAAAGTGTTGTAGGAAGCTTGTAGTACCTCCAGTATACCAGGCTAGACATAACATTTTCTGTTAATAAACTGAGTCAGTTCTTGCAAGCCCCAACGTCATTACATTGGCAAGCACTAAAAAGGGTATTAAGGTACCTCAAAAGGACAATAAACCATGGACTTTGGATTCAAAGAATTGATAGACTCACACTAAATGGTTACTCAGATGCCGACTGGGCATCTTGCCCTGATGACAGAAAATCTACTACTGGTTATTGTGTCTACTTAGGCGATAATTTGATAAGCTAGTCTTCAAAGAAACAGCTAGTTATGGTACGCTCAAGTACTGAATCAGAGTATAGAGCACTTGCTTCAACTGCATCAGAAATTGCATGGGTTCAATCACTTTTTCAGGAGCTGGAACTACCATTGGCTGAAACTCCAACTATCTAGTGTAACAATATGAGTGTTGGAGCCTTAGCAGCG